ATATCAGAGTGGAATTGTGCTCCATAGTGTTTATAGTGGCTGATTTCTCAGCAGTAAATCACCAGACCTTTCTTCTACAATGGAATATTAATCAACCTTAAAGAAAAACATGAAGTCCTAATACATGCTACCACATAGATGAACCTTGAAAACATTATGCTAAGTGTAATAAGTCAGTCACAAAAGGATAAATATTGTATGATCCCACTTATATGAAGTAGGCAGATACATAGAGACCAAAGTTTATTAGTCATTAGTAAGGGTGGGAGGGAGTCATTGCTTAGGGAGCACTGAGTTTCTGTTAATGGTGGTGAAATAATTTGGAAATAGTGGAGATGGTTGCACAACATGATGAATGTAATCAATGTCACTGAATTGTACGTGTAAAAAATGTTGAATTGGTAAATACTTTGTTATATCTTTTTAGCACAGTAAAAATGGATAAAAGGAAAAAACAAAATAAAAAATAACAAAATGAGCCTTCAGATTTGTAAAATGATTTCCTGTTTATAAAGTTTTTCCACACACATGATCTCTTTTAACACACACATGATCTCTTTTAACTGCCACATCAGTCTTCTGAGACACAGTATTATTGGTCACAAATTATGACTGAAGTTAGAAACAAAGAGATCTGATAAAAATTAAGATGAGAAATGATTCTCCAAAGTTATCCTTTAAGAAATGATGGTTCAACAGACATTCAAAACAGGTTTGAAGGATTCTAAAGTTTATATTGGTTCCACAGCACCAAAATTGCCTTCACAGTTTCCTTATCATAAAAGGGCCAATGAGTAGCGCAAACTGGTGTTTTACTACTAACTGAAAGATTTGTGGCTCTGACCCAGTAAGAGGCACCTTGGAAGAAAGCTTAGCAGTCTGCTTCCAAAAGGTCAGAGTCTTAGTCTTTAAAACTCTAAGGAGTTCAGTTGTAATTTGCAGCACATACAGTCACCATGAGTCATAATCAACTCAACCACAAGTGAGAACAAAAGAAAAAGAACGTCTTCATGCTTCACTCTCTATTGGGTGTAAATAAGAAGAAAATGCAATTCAGTCACAGCACTCTAAACTATCAGTGTCAGAAGGGTCCTAAAAATCTGTTTGTTCCAACCTCTACTTTTTTCTCCCCCCATATCACAGGGCAAGAAACTGAAGCTGAGGGAGAGGAAGAGCTTCATTGCCAGTCTGTAGACAAACAATTTTCCTTGATGTAAGACCTATTGTTCTTTCCATCCTACCATTCTGCCAAACAACTCAATTCCCTTTGAGCAACCTTCACTCAAAGCTTTGGTGGGATTGAAGATTGTGATAACTATTCAAGTAAGTTTTTAAAAGTATCTATGCATTTCAATTACATATTTATATTTCTTACTACAATGAAAAATTTGTACAAAACCAAACCTACTGCTATTCTGACTCATAGTGACCCCCCACTGGGTTTCCAAGCTTGTAAATCTTTATGGAAGTAGATGCCACTTCTACCTCCTGCGGCAGCTGGTGAGTTTGAATAGTCAACATTCTGATTAGCAGCCAAATCTCTTACTCACCACACCACCAGAGCTCATTATTACAATGTGAAATTTCTATATATCAATTTAATTAACATCTCTATGATTATGGAGGAGCTCTGGTAGCATAGTGCCTAAGGCACTTGACTGCTAACCCAAAGGATGGTGGTTCAAACCCACCAGCCACTCCTCGGAAGGAAGGTTGGGCAATCTACTTCCGGAGTGATACTGCCTTAGCAACCCAAGGAGGGGTCGCTATGAGTTGGGTCCGAGTCGATGGCACATAACAACAACAAGAAAATGATTGTGGTGACTTCTTAACCATAAGGGGTGATTTGTGAGATTCCTCACCAACAATGGGGGTACGTGTGTCCAGGCAGGGCTACAATCATTAAAATCCTCAAAGATAATTATTCACCTCCAAAGACATTGTTGTTGTTGTTATGTGCCATTGAGTCTGACCCGACTCATAGTGACCCCTCCTTGGGTTTCCAAGGCAGTATCACTAAGGATAGTAGATTGCCCCATCTTTCTTCCGAGGAGTGACTGGTGGGTTTGAACCACCAGCCTTCTGGTTAGCAGTCAAGTGCCTTAGCCAATATGCTACCTGAGCTCCCAAAGACGTTAAGCCAGTTTAAAGGGGCCACTGTGTTGCAGAAGGTTCATTTATAGCCCTTTTCGAAGGACTCATGAGATTGATTAATTTAGTTAAAAACAATGAGATGGAAGATTAGATTATTCTTCTAATGTGGAACATAGTACAAACTATGTCCTTGTTTCAGCTTCTCCATCTGCAAAATAAAGCTAATCATTCCCATTCTTCCCTTTCTTTAGGACTGAATTACTTTGTTTGGACAGGATAAGTAAATACTCATAATGCTTGGCTATACACAAGATAAAGCTATAATGCCTCCCTTTCCCTGTAGAGAGCACAATAGACCAAGGTGATAAGGTCCGCCTATCTTCTGGGACAGAGAGATGCTAACCAGATTCATAGATTTGACGAGATTACAAGTTAGGGAAGCCCAGAGCCAGGGCTGTCAGTATAAAGGAAAGCTTCTGTTCCTTATGTGTCTACTCCTGGTAGCCTACAGTTTCCTCTACCTTTCCATTCCCACCTGCCTTTCCATCTTTACCCAGGAGCTGGGGGATGGGCCAGGGGTCTGGGGGCACCACAAAAGATCAGTTGCAGTACCTCACATCACCTTCCACTTCTGATTACCCATCAAGAGGAACGGCCATATGTAGGTTCCATACTTTGGACAGTGCAGGTTGCTAGCTTAAAATAAGTAAAGACTGCTTGGAAAACCAATATACAAACTAGAAGCTCTGGTGGTGTTGTGCCTAAGGCACTTGACTGCTAAGCAGAAGGCTGGCGGTTCAAATCCGCCAGCCACTCCTCAGAAGGAAGACTGGGCAATCTACTTCTGTAGAGATACTGTCTGGGAAACCCAAGGAGGGGTCTAGTGAGTATATACAAACTACAGGAGCTCTGGTGGCATAGTGGTTAAGGCACTTGGCTGCTACCCAGAAGGTGGGTGGTTTGAACACACCAGCTGCTCCATGGAAGAAAGATAAGGCAGTCTGTTTCCCTAAAGATTTACAGCCTTGGAAACTCACCAGGGGTCGCTAGGAGTCAGAACTGACTTGACAGTGAATTTGGTTTCTGTGATTATATACAAACTAATGTTTGCAAAGCCCTGGACAAAATCGAGGATGCATATGGCAGGGTTCTGGTATTTTCGTTTCTGTTTCTTTATCTGGGTGATTCTGCCTTTCTAAGTATGGATAAGAGAGAAGTGAATGGTTAGAAGCAATTCCAGACAGTAAGAAGGGAGGAGAATAGGGTAGAGACAAACTCTGGTTCCTGGGTTGAAGGTTCCTAGACTAACTGGCATTCTTCCAAGAGGACCAATCTACCTCAATGGAGAAATCTCCAAGGTTTCACCAAGTTTTGTCTGGATTGGCTTGTTTTTCCTTTTGTTGGAGCCATCCCCGTTCTGCGCATCCCAGTGGTACTCCTAAAACCTTCTTCCCCAATCCCCACCACCACCATCACCACCGCGTGTGTTTTGAGATTGAGTTTTGGAATGAAATCTGGCGAGTGCCTCTGGGCGCTCCCTAGCGTTGTCATCACATAAAGCTCCGGTTACTAAACTTCAACCCTTGTGCCTTAAACTCTGATGCTGGAGAGCAGGAGGTATTCAGGGAGCAGGGGTCGTCTAAGGCTCCAGGGATCCTCTCCCGCGCTCACCCACGCTGCATCAGCATTTGTTTCTTTAAAGCTACCGGCGTTAGCCCGAGATTAGGGGAGGGGAGAAAAGGAAAGGGGAGGGAAGAAGAAAGGAGGTGGGAAGGCAGGGAGGCCGGCCTGGCGGGGGCGGGACCCGATTAGCAAACTGTTGCATTTGCTTTCCACCTCCCAGCGCCCCCTCCCAGATCCCCAGGAGCCAGATTGCTTGGGAGAGCTGAAGGGTCCGGAGCAAGCCTTAAGGTAGAGGAGGCTAAGAAGGGAAAGCAACAGAGAGCCTGCCGCCCCGGTGCAAGACCGGAGCTGAAGGGACTCACCTCGCCAAACCAGCCTAGCCCCAGTGGCAGCCAACGCCTCTTGCAGTAAGGCAGCTTTGAAGCCACCGTCCCGGAGCTGCCCTTTCCTTTTCGGTGAAGTTTTTAAAAGCTACTAGAAATTCAGAGCAGCAAAGAAAGTGCCAGGTAGGACTGACGGCTGCCTTTGTCCTTCTTCCCTTCACCCCGCCCCCCTCCCAGGTCTTAGCTTTGGGCAGCTGCCTCCGCAGGGTTTCTCTCCGCCCGGCCCCACCTCCCCCCTCCACCAGTGTGGCGCGGCCAGCAGGAGTTTGCAGAGAGGTAACTCCCTTTGGCTTCCAGAGGGCGAGCTAGCTACAAGTTGCAAAGACAGCTCTGGGATCCCAGAGACCAGGGAGCAGCTTCAGTTCTGCAGCTGGGACCTGCTGGTTAAGCGGCGCGCTAGGCAGGCTTGTTGGTTCTCCTGACTCTCCCACCCCAGCCTTTTCACCCTCAGATCACCGGACCAGAGATCGAAAGATGCAAAGTCAGTCAGGACTTCAGTAGAAAACAAACAAAAAGCCCACAGAACAAAAGAACAACAAATGATTCTTTTTTGCACCTGCTTGAGTGGACACTGACTTTGGAAGGGAGGGGCAGATAACTTTTTCTTTTTTTTTTTCCTTTCAAGATTTGAGCATCTTTTGAATCTTCTAAGTATCCAGGAACGGACTGTGGGCCTAGCAGAGCAGATCGTGTCCAGCGTGTGTTTTCCTCTGCACAAGACTTTGAGGCTGTCTGAAGCGTTTTTGCGTGGTTGTTCCAGCAAGTTTCCTTCCCAGGAGCTTCCCAAAGGTGGGCAGCTAGCTGCAGCAGCCTACCGCTTCGCAGCCTGTTGAACTCTTTGGAGCAAGAAAAGAGGAGGCGGGTAAGGGAATTAGGTAGAAGATTCAGCCAGGCTCAAGGATGGAAGTGCAGTTAGGGCTGGGAAGGGTCTACCCCCGACCTCCGTCCAAGACCTATCGAGGAGCTTTCCAGAACCTGTTCCAGAGCGTGCGTGAAGTGATCCAGAACCCGGGCCCCTGGCAACCTGAAGCAGCGAGCGCAGCACCTCCCGGCGCCCGTTTGAAGCAGCAGCAGCCGCAGAAGCAGCAACAGCAGCAGCCGCAGCCGCCGCAGCCGCCGCAGCAACAGCAGCAGCAGGAGATCAGCCGCCGTCAGCAGCAGCAGCAGCAGCAGCAGCAGCAGCAGCAGCAGCAGCAGCAGCAGCAGCGTGAGGATGGCTCTCCCCAACCCCAGAGTAGAGGCTCCACAGGCTATCTGGCCCTGGATGAAGAGCAACAACCTTCACAACAGCAGTCAGCCTCCAGGGGCCACCCCGAGAGCGGCTGCGTCCCAGAGCCCGAATCCACCGCGGCCTCCAGCCAGGGACTGCCGCAGCTGCCGCCAGCACTGCCGGGCGAGAATGACTCAGCTGCCCCATCCACGTTGTCCCTTTTGGGCCCCACTTTCCCGGGCTTAAACAGCTGCTCCGCCAACCTTAAAGACATCCTGAATGAGGCCGGAACCATGCAACTCCTTCAGCAGCAGCGGCAGCAGCAGCAGGAGGCGGCTTCCGAAAGCAGCGGCAGCAGCAGCGCTAGAGTGAGGGAGGCCGCTGGGGCTTCTACCGCCTCCAAGGACAGTTATCTAGGGAGCACTTCGACCATCTCAGACAGCGCCAAGGAACTATGCAAGGCAGTGTCCGTGTCCATGGGCTTGGGTGTGGAGGCCTTGGACCATCTGAGTCCTGGAGAACACCTTCGGGGGGATTGCATGTACGCCCCACTCCTGGGAGGTCCACTCGCTGTCCGTACTACTCCTTGCACGCCACTGGCTGAATGCAAAGGTTCTCTACTAGACGACGGCCCAGGACGTAAAGGCACTGAGGAGACTGCTGAATATTCCCCTTTCAAGGGAGGTTATACCAAAGGGCTAGACGGCGAGAGCCTATGCTGCTCTGGAAACGGTGAAGCAGGGGACACCGGGCCACTGGATCTGCCACCCACCCTGCCTCTCTACAAGTCTGGAGCACTCGACGAGGTAGCAGCCTACCAGAGTCGCGAATATTACAACTTTCCACTGGCCCTGACAGGGCCAGCGCCTCCTCCGCCGCCCCAACATTCCCACACCCGCATCAAGCTAGAGAACCCGCTGGACTATGGTAGCGCCTGGGTGGCTGCGGCAGCACAGTGCCGTTATGGGGACCTGGGGAGCCTGCACAGCGGGGGTGCAGCGGGACACGGAGCCGGTTCACCCTCAACAGCCACATCCTCTTCCTGGCACACTCTCTTCAGTGCCGAAGAAGACCAGTTGTATGGACCGTGTGGCAGTGGCAGTGGCAGTGGCAGTGGCAGTGGCACAGGAGTGGAGGCGGGGACTGTAACCCCCTATGGTTACACTCGGCCACCTCAGGGGCTGGCTGGTCAGGAAAGCGACTTTCCCCCACCTGATGTGTGGTACCCCAGCGGCGTGGTAAGCAGAGTGCCCTACCCCAGCCCCAATTGTGTCAAAAGCGAGATGGGTCCCTGGATGGAGAGCTACTCTGGACCTTACAGGGACATGCGGTAAGTTCCTACTCCCCAAAATGTCGTCTTTTAGCCAGGACCACAAGAGTCAGCATTCTGTAGTATCTAACCCTTCCTCACTGCGTGAACACCCACCCCTGTTCCTGGGAGCCCTCAGTATGGTTCCATGGGAAAGGCTGCCCTAAATCTGGAGTTCTCCCGGGTAGGGTCCTGGCTTGCCTGCCTACTCCGAATCCCCACTGTGAGTTCCAAATCCTCGCTGTGCCCCCTAGGTGCAGGTGCATGCCCTTCCAGATTCCTGACAGCTCCACTAGTCTCTTAAAATCCTGCTACCTCGTGGTACTCCACACTTTGTGGGCGCTTCAAACTTAAATCCAGCTACACTGTGGTCTGAGATAAAGCCCTTAAGTCTCTCCCCAAATTCCTAGTACTTCAAAAAGACATATCTGCATTTTGTCCTTTTAGCATCTATAAGGGTTTGGCCTCCAGCCTATTATCACTCTCAGCAGATTAGAAGCAAAAAGACAGGCCCAAACATTTCTGAGCCTGCCTCTTCCAAAGAGATTGTTTGGTGTGCCCCATTAGGGAAAGTGGTATCAGGGTTCTGTGGGCCACTGGGTAAAGGGGTGAACTCTCTCCCTGGCAGCAACTGGGGATTTGCTCCAGCGGGTAGGAGGTCAGAGGACAGGATCCAACTAAGAAGTTTAGAGTAGGAAAAGGTAGGCGAAAATCAAGGGATAACTTTTTGGTAATCACTGGGCAGGATTTGCCTTCACAGCATTGGTCGACTTTGTTGGAAGTAGTTGCTTGGGTTGATTTTATCTTGTAAAGTGTTTATTTTCTCTGTGGATTATAACAGATCATGGTGTTAGGTTTGCATCGAATTTATAAAGAGGATTTTTTTTTTTAATGAAGAATTTAACCAGGCTTATGTCTGACTTACCGGAAAAAGTCCTAGAATTTTTTTTTTTTTTAATTTGGTAAGGATTTCCTGCTATTTCAGTGTGCTCAGGAATCAGCTTCAAGGAGAGAAGAATGAGACACTTCAATATATTCCTTCATTTTCAGTACATGCTTGCATTTTAAAACATTAGCTGTAGCACTAACAAATTTAGCAAGAGCTGTTGGTGACCTATGAGCCACAATCTTGACCCAGAGTTTTAATTAGGACATGAGACAAGTGGCAGACAGTTTCGTTTTGCTTATTAAAAATTCTTCCTTACCACAGTTGTTGAATTTCTTTGAGACCGTATTGTAGTTTTGTTTTTTGCCCAAACTGGTTAGATACTAGTTTATCTCCATCAGGGAAAGAATATTGACTGGGAAACTAACTCCTCAGGTCTGCCAGGTGCTGATGTGCTCCTGGACTTGTGTCTTGCTCTTTGTTTCTATAGCTAGTTTCTTTTATTTTGACTTTTCCCAAAATTTCTTTGTTAGCATCTTTGTTGACTTATATGCAGCAATTTGTTTCTGTTCAGTAATTCTTACCTTGTTGGATGGTTCATGACACAGTGTCAGAAAAGAGAAAGAAGATAGAACTTCATAAAATGGTATTTTCTGGGCTGTTGAAGAAACAACTTCTTACTAGGCTTTGCATTCTATTAGGTTTTTAAGGTTTGGCTTACAGAATTTTCAAAGACTTCATTTGATATTGTCAAATATTTTTTAGTTAACTTGGAGTGTATATTTTTTTTGATGGTATTATGCCTTGGAATATAAAGTTTTTCATTTTCTGAGAATAGTTTCACTTGGTATGGTTAATTTTTTTTCTAGGGCTGTCACTAGTCAGCAGAAACCTCTTCTACTGTGAACTTTTTGTAGGGGGAAGGATGAATGTCTGAGGTGTTTCTTGGCTTACTATAATGTAATACTAAACACAGTCTCTGGAACCTTCCATCTTCTTCATGCCTCCCCCAAAAAAACACATTCAATTAAGGGGGTAGAAATGAATAGTTCTGCATATTAAGGGATATAGCTGTGTCTTCAAAGACAAAACCCAAAAATTTTAGGGAATGTCTGTATTCTCATCAGGTGTACATATTTTATTCCAGGTCTCAATTGAAAAACTTCTCTATTAGCAAAACCACCATACTTTAGTGCTTCCTTGGCACCCTGCTTAAAATGAATGGCTTCAACTAGAGAGTATTTAGCAGGACCCGAAGAAAGTACAAGATTATTTAATCTTTCCTGGTTTGTTATTGCTACCTTGGTTATGAAAGGGAAAGCTGGTGTTCCTGTAAGTTGATAAAAAAAATTTTTTAAAAATCAATTTTTAGGACAAATCCTTGAGTCAGTTTATTTATGGAAATATAATCAATTTCATCAAAATGCAACCAATCCCAATCTAAAAGTTGACATATTTTCTTATTTTACTTTCTTTTTCTTTCTCTCTTTATATGGGCACAATTTGGTAAAAGGCAAGGTTTTTTTTTGTTTGTTTGTTTGTTTTTTTTTAAGCTACAGCCAGCGCTTTGCCCCCGGTGTTGCATGCATGCATTAGGTGTCAAATTTTAGTTTAAAATTTCAAATTCTTGAGGCTTCTTAAATAACCTGCTGTGTTCCTCTCTTTTTCCAACTGTTTTTTCATGCAAATTAGCTAATTTTGTTCAAGGATTTTTTTTTTTCTAAAGCTTTAGTAACTTCTGGAATAACTCTATGTTCTTATATATCTACGTCGTTTCTACTGAGAGAAGAGGTTGAAAGTTGTCTTTTTCTACTTACCATGTAGTGTGAACAGAAGGAAAAATATATTGGGTTTGTGTATACTGTGCCTAAGGCATTTGACTGACGGTTCAAACCCACCAGCCACTCCTCGGAAGGAAGACTGGGCAATCGACTTCCATAGTGATACTGCCTCGGCAACCCAAGGAGGGGTCGCTATGAGTCGGGTCCGGGCACATAACAACAACACAGCCCTGATTATATTTTATGGAACTGTCTTCTCTCAGCGATAAAATAGGACTGTAACTTCGTTAATTGACCACTGGCTCACTTGACTGAAGTAGGGTAACATATCTCGGCAAGCAGCACAGTAATGTAGCAAGCATTTATTCTGTTCAGGAATTAGAGATGGAGTTTAGAGAGATTATCCAGATTAAAAAAGAATATATTAATTTTTCTCTTGGGAGTTTGTTCTGGTGGCCACAATAAATAGCATTTTAGTAGTGCTATGAGATTGGCAAATCCTGCCTTTCTCTGTTAGCTATTTCAAAAGAAAGAATTTATTAATTCCCCTTTCCATCTCCTGTCTCCTTCCCAGTTATCTAGTAGCTGTTTACAACTGTCTCACAGGGAGCAGTTTGTATATTTTTGTAATGGAGATTTGTTTTGGGACCAAGAAAGAATGATGTTCTCTTTCTTGTAGGCTTTCAAATAGTAGGTGAGTTCTTTCTGGGTCCCAGTAATCAGATCCTTAGGATCAAAGGGTTACACTTAATGATATCTCATTTGGGAGTATTGGTAGGATTTTTCTGAGTATTTTTTCCTTTCCTAGCTCAGCCAAAGGTTAATGGTGGTAAGGGATCTTTATGATAAAGAGTGTAGCTTTCCAATTACAGGGTCACTTTGGGGTGGTTTCTTGCGTGTGCTAATTTCATCTCCTCAGATGTACATTCTTTGAACTATGAACTTTGAGATAATATATTGAATTTCCTGGGCCACTTAATTTTCTTTTCTAAATGCTTTCCCTCCCCTTAGTGATTTTCTCACCTGGTGTATATATATGCATTGAAAGCAAAGAAGTCTTTGATCTCTTAACTCTTAGGTATATCATGACTGCTCTTTGTGGGTTTATGTGGGATGGACTTAGTGGCATGGACAATTATTATTATTAGTAGTAGTAGTGGTATTGTGATGTTAAGACCCCCAGTTTCATCTGGAACCCTGTTCATTCAAGCAGGGAACAGAATATGAGCTGGACAGGGCAAAGCAAGGGGCTTATTTCATAGCCAAACTGGAAATCATGATTCTTAAAAATGAAAATCAAACAAAAAATGAAATTTGGTAGAGTTAGTCTGAAATGGAAAAGGAAACCTCTTCCCATTCACCATTTCCACTATTTTCTCTTTGTCTGCAGCTTCCTCAAGTGCTGCTTGTCCCTGATTTTCTTTCATTCTACTCCTTGCAAGCTTTTGATATTGAAATACAGATTCTTCTTTCTACTTCACAGGATATTTTTCTCATTACACTTGTGGCATGCTCCTAAAGGAAAAATAATTAAATAAATCTGGAGAGTATAAATAAATAAATAAATAATCTGGAAATCATATCAATCACAGCACCTCTCTTTTAAAATTAGATGATTTGGGGATTGCAAAATTAGTAGCAGGGCTTTTTAACCTTGAGATTAGAACCCGATTCAACAATTGCTTGATGGATTGGGAACTTTGCGATTTAATCAAGTATTTTGCCGGCTGGTGTCTCTGCCTTACTCTGTTTATTGACCATTTGGCAGCTTAAGAGCTGGATCCTTTTCTCTCCGTCTTGTTTGGTTGCAGCCCCGACAATACAAGCAGTACCTAATGTGCATGTGAGGGTACTCAGTGGTGGTGTCTGGCTGGGCTAATCTGTTGATGTTACAAATAAATGAGTCTACTTCAGACTTTCCTCGCCAACATTCCATCAGGTTCTGGGATGTTGAATTCAGAGTTAGTTATCTTCATCCTAAAACACAGAGCTGACATTTTTCTTTTCTTTCTTTCTTTCTTTTTTTTTTCCAATTGCTTCTGAAGTTTTTTAGAGGTTGCTCTTTGTTTTATGGAAGAGAATTATGAAACCATATATTTATATAGCACCCTTTTCAAATAAAAGACCCAGTGTCCTTCAATTTACCAGCACTCGTGAGTTTGAAGAGGCTGGGAGGGGACTTGATCACTCTTTCGCTAGTTGAGGAAGTACAATAGTTACATTTTCTGTAACGTGTTTTCTATGTGAGAAAACCTCTCTAAAGCAGCACTTCTTAGAATTTTTATCTCAAAACCTCCTAACTATTTTAGATTGCTACTCAGTAAGAGTTATTATCAGTGGCTACTGCATATAGA